CAGATGCACATTGAAACTTATGCACACACACACGACCAAAACAAACACACATCATGCTTGTGACTACACAAAGCATACCGTATCTTCCACAACACACAAAGTCATTGGGGAGCTTTCGATGCCCTCAAACCATCGTCCAGCCCTCGGTTCCTACCTTCACACCACCTTCACTTCCTCTCACTCTGTTCCTTTTCCTCTCTCAAAACAACGTCAGCTAAGAAAAAGACCCAGATGAAGCTTCTTTGGGATAGAGGAGATTTGAGGATTAATCGCTCTCACACTCTCCCACAGTCACCACACCATCTGATTCTCTTTTGTCTACTTGTGTTAATTAATGCGTAATGAGAGACGCTGATGTGTGCATTTTAAATCAATTCATTTTCTTAAATGACTCTAAGGGGATGCTCAGACACTTATAAAAAAAGCTTCAACTTCTGTGCTCGTCACATTTATAGCGAGTCTTTAAACTTGACGGTCCTGCGACCTTCAGGAAGTTTCTTTTGGAGGTTGCAGTTATTTTTTGGAATTAAATATGCAGAACAATCACTCTCAGATCGCGCTGTGCCTCTGTGTGTGTGTGTGTGTGTGTGTGTGTGTGTGTGTGTGCTCATGCACATGCTTCTTTGGATATGCAGAGTGGTTCTCTTGTTCTCAGCGAGGGCTCCCCCAGCATCTGGCTAAATCCTGCGAGCCTCGCGGCGGTGTTTCAACAACAATTCTTTGCAGGGGCAAACATGCGCTCCATCGCTGCACTCTCTATCCCCTGCTTTGAGCAGCCCGGCAGACCAGGGAGAGCAACGAGAAGCTCAGCTTTGGCAAAACTTGCTTTCATGTCATTTCTGTCTCCAGAGTTACATCGCTCGGCCTCGGGGCTCGTCTTGAGATGGATGCTCTCATCCTTCTCGGCTAATCGCTTCCCCTCGCTCACTTCTATTCAAATCACCTGACTGTCTTTGCTCGCCTCCATATTCCTGCCCATTGCTATTTATTGCTCCTTGTGACTCCTTTTTCTGCTTCACTATATTATGTTTATGTTGTGTGTTTCCTTTCCTTTTTCTCTTTTATCGGTTACAGGCTCCCCATCCCAACTCTTCTATCTCACTGTGTGCGATGATTGCACCAATGCATTTATAGAAGATTGTGTATAGTTACATTGCACTGTTTGCCACTTTGCCACCTCTGCTATTTCAAAAATCAATCACCCATCAAATAAAACGATAAAAGTGGCTCCGTGCTGCTGTTTGTGTCCAACTGTGCCAAATTGTTAGAAATCACTCTGATGGGAAATAAAAGCACTGGAGGCAAACAAAAGCTAAGAGGACGGTGCTGCTTCTGTAGATCTAATTATCCGACACCTCGAAGGCAGGCTAACCAAATGCTACGTTATGTATGCCGTGATGATCAGTCCACTGGCAGGCTGCGCGCTGATCTCTCACTAGACTATTCAAATCAAGGAGCCAAATGTGGAGACACTGAAGCAAGTAATTATGGGTAAGCAGGAGGAAGAGGAGTTAAACAGAGGAGGAGGTACAGAGCAGGGGAGAAAGTGAGGAAGGAGATGCTGTGCTCAGGTGGCTTGGAACGGATATTGTATGCCTTATCTGTCACCTGCAGGTCTCTGCTTGCTTATTATAAAGAGAGGCAAAGTCAGAGTAGAAGGAAAGGTGAATGTGTGTGTGTGTGTGTGTGTGTGTGTGTGTGTGTGTGTGTGTGTGTGTGTGTGTGTGTGTGTGTGAGTGAGTTCATACAGGAAAGAACTGCAGAGAGTCAAACTACAGTGATGCCTTCACTCCCTCCAAAGTGTAGAGGCTGATGATAAAAAAAAATAAAGGAACAAAACACAAAGGAAAAAAAACGAAGCTGCTCTTCCTCGATGTGTTCTGAAGGTCACGACAACACGGAGCTCACAACTTCTCAACACTTTTGTTGCAAAATTTTGCAGATAAGCGGGAGAACATTTGCTCTCTCTGTGCTGACGAGGAGTCCTTGGGAATATGACAGCAGTACCAAACACACTCTGGCACCGGTACATTTCTGTGAAAGCCTAATTGAAAAAATGAACACTACTTTCCTGGAAAAATCAGGCTTTTTCTTTAACAAGAAAATGATATAACTTGGTACTCCATCATTAGACACCTTAAATGATTTTAGAAATGGAGTCAGTCTGTGAGACCTCTCAGTCGACCATAGCAGGACTATTTTAATAAAACTGCTGCAGGGCAGAACACTTTCTTTCTGTCGGAAATGGAGTTTAACAATTGTTCTCAGGACTTGCAAAATGATATATCATAAAGCACTCCTTAGATCTTCACTGAGGCCCCATTGAGGTGTATGAACATCGTATGATATTATTCATCCGAGTGCAATTGATTGAAAATGTAATTATTACTGAATGTTTTGTTTTACCTGTTTTTTTTTTATTGTGCATAACATAAGCAAACATTTCTCAAAATAATCCCATATTAGGCTTTCTGCAAACAGCGAGATGTTCATCCAGCATCCAGCACAAGAGTCCTGTTGTGAGACTTAATGCCTCAGACGCACATTCTGCCAGCTGGAGTTGCAATTGTTCACTTGTCAACGAGGAAATGGAGTTCAGTGGACATGCATATCAATCAATATTCCTGCATTACTATACAGCTCTATTCAGCATTCTGTGGCTCTGCATTGAATGGCGCCTGAGAAGGATGACCACGTGATGATGGATGGACTCTTTCTTTTGTTCTCTTTGTGCAAACTAACAGTAAATAACAAATAAAGAAAAATAAAAAAACCCGTACTCAGCTTCACTGATCAGGTAACAAAAACAGAAGATTCATTATCGTTAGTTTATCAAATTTAGATTTGTGGGGTAATAATACATTAGCGGGCTAAATTATAATGAGCAGAGTAATTATCTGCTGGGACCATTATCTGTAGTTTGTCAATAGTGTCAGATCAGAGCTATTTCTCACAGCCGAGGAAACAATAAACAGTCCTATTTCATTTTAGAGGAATAAATGGTGTTGAAAAGTCTCACCAGGATTTACTGTGTTCATATTCTGAAGTCTAATGTGGGACTGCCGCAGAGCTCCTTCTCCATTTTGCCTCCTAAGTTACGATCAACTTTCCGCTGACTTCGCCTATCTCAGCCTTGGTAATAACATTACTGCCTTGTGGGCTATAGATACCGACAGTTTTCTTTTTGTACCCCGCAGTTAGCCTGTTTTGTTATTTCTGAAAGAGTAAGTCGGCGTGACAGCAACAGCTACACAGAAGGATAGAGAAGCAAAAACACTGACAGCGTGGTCCACGTTTGGTTGCTCGGGGTTCTATGCACATCAGGGCTGCTGGCAGAAATCATGTCGCCTTGCCAGTGGAAATACAGCTGAAGTGTTGACAGAAGCTGACTGGTGTGCCACAGTAACAGCGTGAAGTGAAGCTGCCAGTGAAATAACGACGACAGGCCAGATGTAATGCAAGTAGTTGCTGCCAGTGAATGAGACACTCTATACCAGAGGACATCAGACCCGCTGTCAGGGACGACAACACTGTTTTTTTGTGTTACAATGCAAAGTCGGCACAATGTCATCTATACCATTCGATTTCACAACGTTACACTAACGATGCAATGGTGTCGAGAGGAAGGTTCACAGCAGCACACATCTTCTGCAGAAAGTCAAATCCGTCAGTGGCTTTGCTGTATCTTTATGAATAGACTGCATAAACCATTCCCGAAGGGATGTTTTCACAAATATCAGATGATGTGACATATTGAGTGACAGAATCTTCCAACTCCTCTGTCATCGTTTTATCCAGTTTAATAGAAAAGCTGTAAATACTGTATCTACTGTAGCTATTGCCTGATATATTCAACAAACTCTGAACATGCCTGTGGTTACAACCCAGTCTCATCTGTTAATTGTTCATGCTTGTGTTGTTGTAGTGGATGCACTCTGAATGAAGCAAATACAGTGAATAAATATATAGGTTATTATTCTAGCACTTCCCCTTTAAGTCATCCATAATTGGTGTTTCTGCAGCCTTTTCTGACACAATGAATCTAGGCTTCGATTGTGTTTTTTACACTATATTCAAAATTCCCCACAAAAGATTTTCATCTACATCACCATTCTTGCGTAATAACAGTACATGGGACAGGGACAGGGACGGCTGATTGTTTGTACGTTGATACTTTTTTTGAAGACATTCTCACAGTCACGCCTTTAATTCACAATTTTGATTCTACTTCAAAAAGTGTAGCTTATCTAAGAGATGATAAACATAGACATCAATACACATATTGTCAGTTTTTGTAGTACATATGGTCCCTCCATTTGGAATTATGAAGTAAACAAACTCTAACTGAAGTCTAAATCTTCACATTCTGTGCACAAACTATGAATCTATATTCAATTGACTAGTGTGTGTTATTAAACCACATTCCCCTTACACTGACTGACACTAGAGCATATATGTTTACATATCAAATATGTAGGTGAGGTATATCTGTTTCATATTCTTATATCTTTCTATGTTGCTACTCATTACATACGTACATATTCTACATTGCTATTTTTGCATGACTTTTGGCATTCTGTACTTTGATCCTGCTAAACGTTTACATCTAATAAGTATACCCTGCATATTCAAAACATCCTACTTTACATGTTCTGGTTGTGGCGTTATGACTGAATTTGCTGCTGCAGCAGTCAAATGTGGTCATAGGAGTTGTTCAAGCTTCTTAGTATTCTCTCGCCTCTTGCTGGCTTCTATGTCTTGAATTTTGGTGAAATGTGCCAGTTGACCAATCAAACCCTTAACAGAGACAGTTTGACATGTGTGAGTTAAAGGCTTAAAAGAGAGATCAGAGAAGATCTCTGCTCTGCTACAATTCACAATCCAAATCCTCCTCCTCCTCAGTCTGGCCGTGTCTGATTGTCAGTGCCTGAAGAGACGTCCCATTCCCTCTTTCTTTTCAGCACACATCACCATTTCATACATTTGAGTGAACGACTTACCTGCTGTAGTTAGGCAGAGCTCTTCGTCGCTGTTGTCCTGACAGTTGTCCTGGCCGTTACACAAGAAGCTGCGGTCTACACAGTGGCCATTTCGACACTTGAAGCGAGCCTCCGAGCACACCAACGGGTTTCCTGCTGTGGTCGAGACAGGGCAGAGGTCAAGGGTCAAGTGGTAGTTCAAACAGGGTTACAGTGAGAGGTTTCAAAGTTACCTGAGAACTGTGTGAGTGACTTTGAGAAACAAACTTCACAGCATAAACTAACTATTTAAAAGCAAATTAAATTACTATTCTGTAGTGGAGCAATTTGTGAGAAGTTGTGCTGTGTGCTGCTGTGTGCTCCCCATCCCATCTACAACACTTTGATTTGATTACATGTAAGAGAAAAACATGGGTTTTACTTTCTCGTGGGGGTTTTTGGAGAAGTAAAACGTTAAAAACAGTGCGAGTTACAGTAGGAGATCATTTGATCCGGGGAGTCTGATAAAAATTGAACTGAAAAAAACCAATAAAATCCTGCCCAGCACTATCGCTTCCTTTTATGTTCTGGTCTTTAGCTTCTGCGAAATGAGGCAGATTTATCTTGTGAGAAGATCCAGACAATTACACAGCGGTGACGCAGTATGTGCCGGGGGCGTGGAGCAAAGCTCCATTTAAATGGCTAGATTAGATTTGTGAGCGTGGTGCCCTGCAGGCGAGGAACACTGCCTCTGACAATGGTGAGTGACCGGCTTGATGCACGCTCCCCACCGGGAAGGCAGGGATGGGGTCAGGTGAGGACAAAACAATGTGCCTGATAACACACACTATATACCTGGTGTTCCTCTTGTCCATCATTTCAATTCAATATGTGTAATAAGCTGTCTAAAAGGCAAAGCTAGACCCAAGGGTGCAGACTCGAAAGTCACAAGTGATGCAAACACTTAAAGATGACTCAAACTTTATTGTAAACGTAATAGAATTTGCTGCATTTCCCACTCATACCTTGTAACCACCATTATTATCTGTCCTAAATGCAGGATTTGATAGTGAGTGGAGGGGACAGCAACAATGCATTCATTGTAGAATGACATTCTTCTGAAGGGAGGGACATAAAGACTTTAAAAAGTATGAGCAATACTGATTTGGCATTACAAAACCTAAAGCCGGACAAAAGTAACAAGGTTTTAAAAAATAAATTCTAGTGACAATCTCTGACCACACCTGTCCCCGCCATCATGTCCCCGTGGAAACATTTAAATATCTTTGCTTTTAAAACTGAATCATCCGCCAAAGACGGAGGCTGGGATCTTAGTTCTGTAAGCGAGGTCTTTTTTGTTCATAGTGAAGCAGAATGAACCGTGTCCTTGCTCAGATTTTGGAGCAGATCATGACTCATGGCATGATTAGACAGATTGCTATTATTAGAATTAGTTGTCGTGCGAGACTCACTGCAGTTCTCCTCGTCACTTCCATCGGGACAGTCACTGAAGCCGTTACAGCGGAAGCGTCCGATGATGCAATGGACACCGTTAGCGCAGGCGAAGAATGTAGGGGCACACTTTGACTTGACCTTAGCTAAAGACAGATGGAGGGAAGTGGTGGAAAGAAAAACAATGGATTAGTCAATGTGATGAGCCAGCACTACATTATGTTTTATGATGAGAATTAACCTTGGCCTTGATGTACAAAGGAAGTGAGGCTACGCTTTATTACGTTGTTATGACAATTAAGTAACTGACAAAACTGCAAGTTCTAAAATGAAAACAGCAAACCATTAAACCATAACCCATTGTACAAAGTTCAAACAGTCACACAGCTAATTTGTTATGGACACCAATTAATACGCAGCTCTTTTTCTTTTGTTGCGTAATGCTTATCTTCATGTTCTCTGAAGTATGACAAGTAAAGGGTAAGATCCTGAGCACAAAAGTACTGATAATAGAAGAAAACAAGTTAATGACAAAGACAAAGAGAGCAAATCCTGGGGGGGGGGGGAAGAGAGTGTTTGAATGGATTATGCCATTGATCAGCCTAAGCAGGCCAATGGTGTTATCGCCCAGGACAGGCCTGCCTGAGACTGAGTGACGAGCCTGCAGAACATCAATGCCTGGCAGACTGCGTGTAGCGCTAGCCCCTAGTTTTAACTCAAACACATTGATCTTCTCTGGCAGAAGGAGAAAAACAAGATCGCAGGTAGATTCAGAAAAAAGACATCAGAGAATAAAAGAGCTCGCTTTAGCTCAATCACTGTACCGTTAGAATTGCAAAGCCCGATGGCAACTAAAAAAAGATATTCAAAAGACATTGCACTCCGGCCATCGATATTTACAGTCTATAATAATGACCCACATCTGTGTGAAATACAGTATCATCTCTCAGACCTCGGCTTCTCTGCTCTGGCTCATGGATCATTCCCTTCCAGTGTGTTATAATGCAAAAGCTTAGACTTTGTGTGTAATTGTACTTATTTGAGACTAAGGATGCACCAATACTGATACAGATATTAGATATCAGAGACAAATGGGGCCAATCTAGTCAATACATTCTATGTTTATATACTATATACGTAATATGCTGGGATTTTAATTGCAGTTTTGACCACCTTGTTGCTACATTAAAACGGTTTACACTTGAATTGTAATTGCTGTTAAATTGTAAGACTTTTTAAAGTTGCTGGTATAAGATGCATTATTTTGACAATAAAGAACAATACAGCTTATTTATATTTATGTATTTATTTGTTACTTTTAGTTTGAAAAGGTTAGAAAATAATTGTTTCGGTCAAGCCTGATGTTGCCTTACACATAACAGAATGATCCCTGTCACTTCCACGCAGTGAGGTTATTCATTTAACACTGGTATAGGATCAGTACTTGGTACAAGCCGATACCCAAAACTCAGGTACTCTATCGTATTGGGACAAAAAAAAAAGTTGGATCGGTGCTTCCCTATTGGAGACAGAGAAAGCAAAAGCTACCAATTACAGCAGAGACATTAATATGATACTAGTTAAATAACAACAGAAGTGAATGCCAGTGATGTAACAGCATTATATACATCTTAAACATTACAGAACAACAAAACGATGGAGCAGCCCGCACACTCAAACACACAGGGAGGGGGAGAGTGAGTGGGCATGCTACACATCTCAAGCAAGCCACCAAACAGTCTCTTTCTTCCTCTCTGCCGAATACAAAGGGTGGAATTGGCCTGCTTATAGGTTGGCATTGTGCCGTCTCAAATGCCAGGGGCGCACATTTTTTCCCTCTATAATGTATTGTGGTAGGCTGATTTATGAGCTCTTTCAAGCTGCGGCGATTATGTGTAGCGGGGGGGGAGGGGGGGCTAGGCATAACATCCACGAGGGTTTGGAGCGCCGGTCTCCAGGATGAAATGTAATCCGCTGAACGCAGGAGGAAGCTGGGATAGCGCCCGATCTCTGTGTCTGTAGTCTGGGAAGCCTTTGTTTACCTGGACAGCAGAGCCCCTAACACCCCAAAGCTCATATTGCATGCTATATCCCATTCATTAGAGTCCAAAAACAGAGGAAACATGTTCTGGTCTGGAAATATAAAGTGTCCTTTCAACATTTCTCTTCTCTGCATGCACAACAATCCTGGCGGCTCTTTTTTTTATTTTGCTAGGCAGGCTTGGCTAGAAGGATAGCTCTGTTATTGCTCAGAGATTCCTCATTCACCCCCCCCCCCCGAATCCTCATTACCACCTCTACTGCTGGTAGGATTCCTCTGACCCAGTGTTTATGTTCCAAATTAGCTCAAAAGTCACGCGAAGGGCAAGCTTATGAAGGGAGAGTGGTGGGTGGGAGAGACAGCACTGGTCGGAAAGCATAGCGATAATATGCTTAGCTGTATTCTGGGAATGTGTGATGTGTGGCCCTTTACAGCCTGAGCCGAGCAGTTTTCAGAGGAAGAAGAGGAAAAATGAATTAGAAGGAGCAAGTTGAGGGTGGAAGAAACCTTCCTTTGATGATTCTGTGAAGGTTTCCTGTTCTACTCCAGGTCTGGGACTCCGAATTCATTGATTTTAGCACCTCTGCCTTACTCTGCAACCTATGACGATCCAGTGGACCCGGTCTTGATCCCTTCTGTCAACACTCTGCTTTTAGGTTGGAACCGCATTAGTCCCTTGCTAACTGTTCTTTCTCTTCTCTGAGCCTGTAGTAGTTTACGAAAAGCAGGCAGAGTGTTGGGTGACTTCCAAACTTAGTTCCAAGTGTTCGGCTGAGCAGCACAAATGAAAACGAATGGTAAGCAGTCAAGCTCGATTACTTGAGGTTTGCACTGTAACTAGCAGATAAACATGGTTGGATCACACAGAAACGCACAGTTGGAGGACATACACATAAATATGCCCCCCCTCTCCCTGTCTCTCTGTTTTACGGTCTCCTGCACGATTACAGGCACCCACAGGCTACACTGAGGTTATTTTGACATCTGCCTAAAATTTCTTCTGCAACACTGCACTGTACTTTCTACAAAAATCCATGCCTCCTTTGTTTTATTTTCATAGGTTTAAACTCAAATGTTTCCATCTTAAGTAAAAACTAAATTCAAATTCAGACCATCATTTGATAATCTATAATGAAATTTGAAAGAGAATGCTTCCGTTCGTCTCATCTTCACAGTCTTTGTCTCCCCCGTGACTTCGGCATTCATGTCAGTCTGAATCTGACGGCATAAATCCTGTTGCAGACAGGCTGCTTTGCTCTTCCCCAGATATGCACCTCTGTGCCCTTCTCCACACTTCTCCCCTTTTCTCCCTCTCCTCAACTCCCCAGAGAACAGAATAACTTGTTCGGCACGGGTAGGCTCGGTCGTGATCAGCATGCATGATTGACAAAGTGAGGAGAAAGACGGGAGGAAGGGGCTAACACGGAAGAAAACAGCACGAGTGGAGCGAGCGGAGGAGAATAGAGGCTGCGAAAGAGTGGAGACAGCTGACGGCTTGAAAGGTTTCTCTGACCTTGTTGGGGTTTCTTCGGGGAGGAAATCAATAGGTAATGGAGTCAGGGTGTAAGCAAGAAGGGCAAGGGTAGTTTCAGTCCAGAGGGCTCGGGGATCAAAATAATCATTCGGTACGTTTGACTGTCTAAGCCCTACGCGTTAGTTGTCCAATACAATAACCCCCTGTGTGCAGGAAGCGGCACTGCAACATTATAGAGCTGCCTTCATCTCAAGGGTGATGAGGAAGCCAGTGCGGCTCGTGTACCATACAGCGGGCGCATGTTCAAAATATCAGTAATATTTTAGCAACTCCCTATAAAAGAGGCGGAGGGAAAGGCAAGGGCACACAGTGAGAAAGCAGCGAGTGATAGATAATGATCCTGCTGCAATATTCATTGAAGAAAGAAACATGTCGCTTTGTTTTAACTAGTAGTGCCCAACACTATATTGTAAAATGACACGGCCGCAGTTTTTAGTCCTTTGAAAATTTCGAAGCAATCATTTTGCCTGATTTGTGACGATCTGACGAGGATAGCATTCAATCTAGAAGAGCAAACTAGAGGAAAATAGTCTTCAAGAGACAGAACGAGACAAAGAGACTGTATGTAAGACGCTTATCAATATTTCATCCCTGCTACTTGGTATTAATTACAGCAGCTCATTGATCAGTCAGGCATTCAGCACATGGGAATGCACCAGACTCCGTCCCATTAAAGCTCCCTCTGCTTTCCTAACCTTCCCTGCTATTAGTGCACCACATTCTAATCATTTTCTTCTTTCCCTTTTCTTTTTTTTCCGGGCTGGGCTCAAACAATGTATGCAAACCCAGACACGCTCCAGTTTAAGTCTTCCGATCCCACCCGCTCTTCTTCTTCCACCGTCTCCTCCCAAATAAACACACCCACACAGACACACACGCAAACACACTCCCAGAGCAAAGAAAACCGAAAATACAACCAAGCAGAGCGTGAACGGAAGAACAAAAACATAATCCGTCAGCAGTATATGGCTTTTTGTGTTCAAGTCATTGGTCGTAGTTTTTAAGAAAATAAACACACACTCCTAATCATAGCCAACCCTTCCCTACATGTGGTGGGTTTGAGCGTTAGCCTCAATATCTAAATCATAACCAATCTGTCTCAGGAGTCTCTTTAGCTATTTCCACCCCTGGTGTCGAGGAAAACGTTGTTGTTGATAAGGATTTAGCGGCTCTTTTGAGCTCGATACCTCGTGGGCATTTTGGGGAGGTCAGTACACAGAAAAACAAAAAGCACCATTGATGTCGCTCCAGGAGTTGGCTGTGTTATGACTGCAGAAAGCAATAATACGATAATATTCCAGCAATCCACTGAAATTAATTCATTTTTCTCCTAAGTGCATTAGGCAATGGAAGCTCCATATGGTTATATCCCTCATTGTTATGAAGTATTAATAGACTTCTAAACTAACTGACAAAACATCAGCCCCCTTTGTGTGTGGGCCTCCAATTTGCTGTCCTCCCTGTGTGTCTCCCACAGTCCCTACGACTGTATAGGACTCACACAATTGACAAATAGGTCATGTTGCAGCAAAAGTTATTGAATAAAGAATGTTTGCTTCGTGAAACAGGTCACAGGTTCAATATGTCTATGATTGGTGATTTTCCCTTCATCAAGAGATTTGTTTAAAGGACTACATAACTTTTTGCTGACCAGCACCACTGTGGCCACAAGAGACAATTACAGAATTATAGTACATGCTAAAAATGTGTAGTTCAAGCAAATAGGAGTCATCAAGTCAGCCAACTGACTACTGCAATTTCAGCTACGCAGCAATAGTCATCTGAAGTGTGCCAACATTGGATGCCGTTAGCTGCTGGTTGGACCAGATCAATAAGGCTGATGCAGTAAAAACCCGACAGTGCATTGAATTGAGCAATAGTTCATTTTATTGCTGATGAATTCCACGAGTCATTTGAGGAGGAAGATTGTGCCGTTTCTTCTTTTAAAAGTTATCCACTCCTGCTTTGAAGCCTGAATGGCTAAAATGATCCAGTATCTCACAAAAACATGGGAATTATTTTAAACTAGTCAGAAAAACAAAAACTGTTTTTGAATCTCACCCAGCCTATTTATCATCATGTGACGCATCAGATTTATCTTGCGACCCCCTTTGGTGTTCCCAAACACCTGCTAGAAGACCATTCCTCTAAAGAAGAGGAGGGCTCAACAAGCAGCATCCTGTTTGTGACTGGAAACCCGAGATTACATGTAAGATTACATTTTGAGCAGAATATGAGGAGATGAGCAGCCCTTTCCATGTGGTTGACGTGCTCTGATCTTTGATCTTTTAGGGTCACCGGCCCTGCTGATGAACCGTCTCGCTAAAAGTTTGTAGAACGTTGAACTTGCACAGAAGTCAGTGAGTGTAAAATTCTGCATACATGAATCCCTCCACACCGAGAGGCCACGTCCTCCGCCTGCAGGACCAGTTAAGAACACAACATTTCTTTGAAATGTCTTTTCCATCTTTTCTCCCAACTGCATCCCCCCCCGTCTTTGATTCCCCTCTTCTTGCTTCATACATCATGTCCACTCACCCTTTCAGCCCCACTACACATCTGTCCTCACTCGCCTGCTCATGCCCTGTCCAGGCAAGGGCAAAGAGGCTAATCCTGGCTCTGAGGCCCAGTAAGCTCAGTCAGCTCTCCTCCTTCTCTCCTCTGTCAGGATCCATTTCGTCCAACACTCTCCCAGGCTGTTGTTATGGACACCGGGGAGCAGGGTGCTACTTTTGACCTCTTTGTGTGAGGAGTTAGTCAGCAGCCTGTCTCTGAATCATAGCTTGAAAAACCCTCAGATCTGCCAACACATATACATACAAGCACGCGGGCGTTCAGCATTGGAGATACTGTAAGAACTGCTGATGTTGTTTCATCTTAAATTCAGTTATGTGGCATAAAGCAGGGGTTACAACAAAAACAATTGGACTTGATTAAAATGATCTGTAGGGGGGTCCTGGTCTCGCGCAGTAGGACAGTAATGCAATAAGCTGCATCTTTAATGCAATAAACTCAGGCTGGAGATATTGCATCTTCTCTCAGCCACCGACAGTTATTTAAGAGCAAGCAAATGGTATTTACATGACTCAAGTTGACCCTTGTGCTAGAGGGTACCGGAAGAAGAAACAAACAAGAGAGGAGCAGCAGGGCTCGGGAGGAAGGGAGAATTCTCTTCTAAGTGAATAAATATTCCCCTGACCATTAGAGAGACAATTCCTGGCATATGAGGCGTAGCAGACTGTGACACAAATATCTACAACAAGTAAATAAATAAATGACAGAGACGAGCAAATGCGGACCTGGTTTTCGTGATTGTATTCTGAGCTTCCTCACCCACCGATAGCACTGGAATAAAACATCGTCGTATCAACGAAAAAGGCAGAAAAAAGTATATTTCTGCTGGTGAAAAATGAAACTTTGCTAGACAGTGTCATCGTCGGTTCATGTGTGGGTTGGACCGATATAATCCCAGCATATGAGTGTGCTTTGCAAAACTGTGTTCAAGTGTACTAATTTCATTCAGATTGAAAAGAAAATTGATCTTTCCATGCTCCTCCAAATAATTTGCAAGTCCAAATGGATTTGTTCTCCTTTCTGTTTTCCCGTTAGCTACATAGTTTCCAAAAATCCTCATTAATGAGACACCAGGGATATGTCACCACATATGACCTTTACCTCAGGCTCTGCATAAGTATTCATGGGATCAGTGATACCCACATCAGCACAATCTGCTGGATAGGCAGTGTGTGCTTACAGGGGATGTACGCTCTGACTACGACCGTCTTCTGGTGCTAAAGTGGTAAAAATAGAGACCGGTCCTGGAGCAACATATGTACCAGACAATTCTATAGGTTCACACAGTCATAAAGTTATTTTGTGAGTGTGTGTGTATATATATACAGTATATATATATAGTTCATAGTCACTTCAAATTGACTAATTAAAGGAGAAAAGTGGTCAAAAAAGCTACAAACATCAACGTTGATGTACAATTGTAGGCCACCTGCTCATATTACAGATGGGAGGAAGTTCAATCCTGTGGTGGAATGCAAAGGACAGTGGGCAGACATTATTAGATACAGTTTTTAGTATTTTGTGAGGAATATACATTTAAAAAAAACTTTTCATGGAGAATAAGTTAAGTCAACAAACTGTCTTTCAAGTGAGCAAATGTACCATCTCACTCTGTTAAATATGTGTGTGTGTGTGTGTGTGTGTTTGTTTTCTTAGAGGGGGGTGTCTAATTATAATTTCTCCTGCAGAGAATCCAGTGCTGCAGTCTCAAAGCTTGCAGGCATTGTGTTCTCCTCAGATAATAGACATCCAGACAGAGCTCCTGCTCTATCCACCGAGTCCTCCCTCTCAACTTCCTCTCCTTCACTTACTCCCTTGTCTTCCCCTCCCTCCCGCCTGTCTGTCTGACCCTGCAGAGCCCCTAATGGAGCTGGAGGTTCGTCTGGGGAGTTTTGTGAAGCAGTCGCCGGAGATATCGACTGACAAGTAGCCATCTATTTGAGGATAATAAGGCCTACTTATGCCAGAGCAGATAATGTAGATGTCGACAACACACGCAAATAGTCCTCTGACAACCGGTGAGGCAGGCTGAGTGTGATGCTTTATGATAACTCGCTTTTATCTTCACCAGTATAGCATGTAGTGTCAGCAACAGACAAAAAAAGTCTTGCTTGTCTGAGGGTTCAATGTGAAAGTGCTCGAGGTGAATTTGAGTGAAACAAACAAACACAAATTGTGTGAATAGATAAAACAGGAGCACTTAATGTATCTCATTCTGATGCTGTTAGCCTCAATGCATCGGAGTATCATTCTTCCATGTCTGACAGTTGCTGACAGTTTAAGGCCATTGAATGAAGACCCATCCATCTGAGTAGTGCATGCCGTATTCTAAGCTACAGGGATGTCAACAGTAAAGGTGAACTAAATGATATAGTCTAGGACACCTCTTGAAATGTCCCTATGTACAGTATATGTAACGTTACATGACCAAGGTATTGCAAACTAAAAGATTGATCACTGCAATGTTTAACTATGCGGGCTGAGTCTGTACGTGTGCCGGCATGCAATGGGACACAGCTTTGTCAAGAGTAGTCTGCCTGTTCCCTGAGCTGCCAACAAGAGAGACGGTAAGAGGAATGACGGATGGAGGAGAAAAGATGACAACGAAGTGACAGAATGGAGGACAAACCACATGTGATTTCCTTTTTGGGCAGGGACAAAGCAGGGTAAAAATAAAATCTCTGCAAGAAGATGATTATCCTTTTCTAATTGGAAACAAGCCTCTGTGAAGCAAATTACAAGCCATGCAGAAGCCAAAACTCATCAGAGATAGGGTGCAGATAGGAATAGGGAGTGTGAGACAGTTAGAGAGATGAATATTTGAGGAGATGGGGGTTTCCACACAGTGTGGCGGGGCCTCCGAGTCAATCTCCATCAGCAGTCTCATCTTTGTGTGGAGCTCCGGCTGAGACGGGAGGGGGAAGAGGAGGAGCAGCAGACCAGAGAGATCAAAGCTAACTAAAAGTGAGTATCAAAACGGAACTATTACTGTCGCCTTACAGTAGAATTATGCATGCGCTACTATTCCTGCGCACACAAGTAATCGGCCTTTGCTTTGATGGTATTAGGGATTTGCGCTGGTGCTAAACTGGGGCCGTGGGTCTAACAGGGAGCAGGACGGGTGCACGCTGTGAGGGAGATGGAAGGATTGAGGAAGGAAGATAATTTAAATTGGCAGAGACTTAGGTTTATATGGCCTTTATGGCTCTATGGGTGGGGATGGGAGAAGGTTGGATAGCGAGAACAGTTCAGTAATTGAGATTTTGGTGCGACTCTAAATAGGCTATCTGGCTTTTTTTGCTTTAAAAGGCACAGATAAGGGCTGTAAAAGAGAACGTAAAAAGGATCTGATAATGAAGTCTAAACTGGACTTACGGCAGCCTTTCTCGTCGCTCTTGTCAAAGCAGTCGGGAAATCCGTCGCACTGCCACCCACCTGGGACGCACTTCCCATCTCCACACATGAAGTTTCCAGGGATGTTGCACTCCGTGGTGAAGTTATTCCCCGGGAGAAGCTGGCTCTCTGGTTAATAAACAAACAGAATGACACAGGAAAGGAGAGAAAGAGAACCGATTATTACAATCGCACACCACGAAGAAATTAAACAGGCGGAGAGATATTGCACCCCAGCGATATGCATCGACACAGTCAAAATGGGAGACCGTTATTATCTCCATCCTCTAAAGATAGGAAACCAATAAAGGCGGTGTCTCTCTTTATAAAGGTATATCATTCTGCTTGCAAATAAACAGATCTCATGAATGCAAAAGCAGATGGGGTCATTCAGTGTGAACAGTATTGTGTGCGTAAGAGTCAAGCTTGGAGCTGTAGGCAGTATCATAATCAGGCAGATAAGGAAACACCAAAGACAATCGCATACAAACAAACAACATGTCTTGGACACACACGCGCTCACACACACACACACACACACACACACACACACACACACCCACACACACACACACACACACACACACAGAGCAGAAATAAAAGCATTCAGCAGCATGTGCCCCGAGCTTGTTCCGGGAATTTAGTTGACACAGTGCAGCTGTGGTATAATGGGCTGGAATGTGAAACATGGTCTTTTGGCGGAGGTTTGACACTATGCGGTGATCGGTTTAGCTCGTAAACAAAAACTTTAGGGCGGTAATGAGGAGCTCCGGACAGACCGGGGGAACGCTTTCATGCTGCAGTGCTGGAACTGGGTTTCAGCTGGTAGAGGCCACTTCATTACACTAGAGAGAGGGACGCAAGAGGTGTGGAGCCTCGAGCCTCGAGTGACGGTGTGGTTAACCAGTGAAGTGACTGACTGGGTCACAATATGGGTCTCTCTGACTTACACGACTCTGACTGAGAAGAACAGTGATGTAAAAATGATTTATAAAAAAGGTTACATCGATATAAGAAGCATCCTTTATTTATTTCTAAATAAGTCAGATAAATGAATCCACTTTGTGTTTGTTTCCTCTATCTGATCATTACAGAGACACATTCTCGACGAGGCAGTTACGCCGTACTGAGGGATCCATTGTACTGCGGTACAAATAGAAAGCGTTGACATTTCAGTGCTTGTGAATTCATAACCAGAGCTCTCAGGTTCACAGCTAGTTGATATTCACTTAGCTACTTGCCAGAGTACAGCTGAGTAACTGACACATAGAAATCAAGCGCTCTTACATCATCACTCTCTTGCTGCGATTGTGGAAAGCATAGATAGATCATCTCATGAGACAGCAGGACCCTTCTGATCCTCTGTCGGGATGATGCAAACCCTGTTTTGTCTCTTGCAATATACAGAAGGGGAAGTGATGGATAAAGAGCAACGGCTCCTGTCATTTACGTGGACCGGAAAGCATTCCAACTATCATTCAGCATTAGTGGGAGGCCTCACCAAATGTAGCTGTCGGTGAATACATGCAAAGACAATTCTTTTACATATTAGTGATCGCTGCCTTCATGAAATGAAAGACTGTTTGTGCCCGCATATTGGCGTCACCTGTGTGGTGTAATGTTTCAGTGAATAGAACAAATCCCAATGGTGCTGACAGACAGCAATTTACCATAGTGAGCCTCACAAACCAAATGTAATGTTTTTGTTCTCTATGTGAGAAAACACCACCATATTCACACAGTCTCCACTGGCTCGTCCCCTCCCGTCCTCGTTTGTTCGGCTCTTTCTGACAAAGGGACCGACACACAGAGAAGCACTCTTTGGAGAGAAATAGAGGGAGAGGAACTACACAGCAATGTTGGACACCTTTAATTAGTTCTATCGGACTTGTTCTTCATAACGTAGCCAAAATGTTACTTTCCTTACACTGTGCATGCTATGGATTCCTCAGCAGCCTTTCATGAGGCCACTCGATGTCGACGTATCAACTGAACAAAATGCCACGTAAATGTCCATTCAAAGCCACGCAGGACAAGTGCCATGCAGAAAGACTGCAAGGAGCTGGTGGTTCGAGAGGCATCGGGTTAATTGGAGAGTTGCTCTGAGAGTGCGTTGTGTTGTGTGTTTGAGAGACGGCCAAAAAGAGTAGGTTGTGAGTTGCTCTTTTGTTCGCCTCAAAGCATCTTATTGCTATAGCCCTGTCATTCAATCGCTAGAGTACCGTTGGAGTAACATGCCCACCTCATTACGACAGTAAGTGTGGCTACACAGCTCATTAGAGACTGCTCTATGTGCTTGTTAACAGTGATAATGACACGCTGCTGTTCTCTGTGGGCACTGCAACGCTCCCACGGTCACCTGGACAACTTGAATGGACACGACAGCAACTCACTCATTCATCCTCTGTGCTTTTAACTACTACGTTTTGGATATCTTGGGACATAATGCGCAGTTGCGCAGCACTGCTGTCTGCATCGGTGGTCACACAGTGGGTGTGTGAGGGAGAACTGGAGGAGATGAGGTCGGGATGACTCTGGACGTGTACGTATCTTGCTGGGCGAAGCGTAGAGCAATTACTCAGGGTAAATATTGACTATACTATCCTTGCCTCTGCACACCCATCCCCTGCCTCCCACCCTCCACCCTGTTTGTATCCACTAAGGCCATATTTAGACTGTTAAATCATAGAGCTTAGAATCTTTCCTGCTTCAGCTGGATACTTTTTTTATAATTAGCATTTACATTTGCGCTACTTCGAGGAAGTTTCACTGGTTCACACAGGCTGGAACTCTTCCCTCTCCATCTTTTTGCTTAGCTGCTGTTGCTGGTAGAGTAGATAGAGTGCACCTCTGTTACCTCAATTATAATTTGTAACAAAAGGAACTCCAAGCATAAACATGAGTCTAATTTCCCAGTGGTTCTGGATAATACTGAAATGACATTTACATTTTTTTTGGAATATTTCTAAAGGGAATATCATCCCTCATGCATCTCTCCTCATCCCCTGTTGAAGTGACATGCATTATGAGCACGACTGCAGTGCTATTATATAATATATTCAGAACATAAGGGCACTGATAAAAGCAAACATCTCTTCTATTTTTTCTATTTTCACACACAATTTAAAAATCCCCTCCGGTTCTACCGAGTGAAGCCAATGCGGAAGTGTCTTAAAACGTGCATTCTCTCTACTGACCAGCAGCGACTCCTCCGGTGGCAAAAAGGAATCGGTTTGTATGGAAGTCTGTGAGAAAATGACCCGACTTCTCTCTTGATTTCTTACCTCAGTAAACATTGTGAACATGAGTTTATGGTCTCAATCTCTAGTTTCAAGTCTTCTTGAATACATGATGATGTATTTTAAAAGGTGATTACTTTTTGCATAATTGGAATTGGAAAAATCTAAATACCCACAATCTCTTCAAATGTTGTCAATTATTTAATTGAATTTAATTATTTAATTATTGAATCAAGTGAGTGCATAAATGGCAAGCTTCCAACGGTTATTCTACGATTTTCCACGGGTGCACTTCATACATAATGATGTTGGAAATTGCAGCCCGGAGACTTCAGTACACCCTTAGCAATTCTCTGAATATGCAAACACGGACTACAGTCCAGCCACCCACATGAATATTTTCACACCAAATGTCAGCATGCCACCCAACACTGGACAGCTAATTTGGTAGCAATATCTATATAACTCTTAACATAGCCTATTAATAAGGTAATAACCCTTTAAGCGTATGGTTGGCTTCCTTTATAAGATTATTCAGGGTATGTCTGGATATAATTGTTGCTGTAATACTCAACAGGGAAACAAAGAAACAGTACAGTGTGCTGGGGAGAACAAAAATAGAAAAGGAGAAGTAAAGCGGAGCAGATGAAGGGGAACAAATGGGAGGTGAAGATACAGCTGGACAAGTATGGAAGAAAGAGGAGCAAAATAAAAAGAGGTGGACAGTGACATCATTTTCTACCTTCAGATTCCCAGTAACAGCCTCCCTATTCCCCGTGCTCTACGCATGAAAGGTCAGTGACATGAATCTATATCTCAGAGGACTATTGGCTTAGCTGTTACTGCTTTAACCCCATCTTCCTCAGCATGCTGGGATATCTGACCTGCATTGATCAGCCCTGGGTCAAAGATTGAGCCTCAAATTGAAACAGCACCAGAAAATTGATTGAGTTGCCTTTGTAAGCTACGGTAGAATTGAAAGTAAAGGCCACAGGAGAAGAAACACAAAATATATAAAGATGGGAGTTTCTCTCCAAAGGACAAACAAAGCTTGTGTCCTCACAGAAATACTCCCACATTCTCATAAGCTTTCTGTAAGGAGAAATATGGCCTATAGCTCTGAACAAAAACTAGCTTTTTCACGTTCAAGGATAGAAACTTATTTTTCCAATTGCACACCACTCGAAGTGGGCTGGCTACACAAGCAGACTGTGAGGCGCAGCGGGGGTGGAGGTGGTTTGGTTGTCATTGTGTGTGTGTGTGTGTGTACGAGAGAGAGAGAGAGAGAGAGAGAGAGAGAGAGAGAGAGAGAGAGAGTCTCCATCCTGTTCCTTCAGCTCACTGAAGCGTCCAGTACAAATAAGCACAAGTGTAAAGAACCTGGTCTGTATCAATTAAAGACACCCTACGGACAGACAGACATGGGCAGCGCAGCATAAGCACGGAGCAACAGAGCAAGCAAGGCATTAATGGGGAGAGATGGAGAAAAGGGCAGTCATGCATGAAAAAACACATATAGGCCTGCGCCTCTTTCAGCTGTTCACACTTTTCCCACCTCTAAAGGCCATACAGAAACTGTTCTATGTGAATCTGTGTATTAGAGAGGAAGGGGCCTCAGGCTTCATCAGCTGCTACGTAGTTACTGTGTGTGTGGTGGACACAGTTATGGCCGTGACAATGCTAAATGAGTAACTGAGCCAAAGACCCAAAGTTTTAATCTTTCACTGTACAGTGAGGAGAATACAGCTCTTAAGAGAGCCTTCATTTCACACCAACAAATGCATGCCATGCACACTCAGATCAGTCAATAACCAAATCCCCATAAAATCCACAACAGAGTGTAAATACCCAATGAGGAAAACACAACACAACGGCAGATGATGGATGCAA